TTTAATAATAGTTTGTTTTTAAAAAAATATGCTTATAAAGAAAATGTGCTTATATAGGAGGTGACTATAGAGAGGTCGGACTGTAGTTTGTTTTTGAAAAAATATGCTTATTAAGAAAATGTGCTTATATAGGAGGTGACTATAGAGAGGTCGGACTGTAATAAAATTTTAATATAATATGGATCACTTATTGAATGGCCGGTATTTACAATGTGTCGTTTTAGCCCTGCTTAACAGTCCAAGCCATAGTCTGTGTAACAAAAGGGTTTGAGATCATTCAATTTCTTAAAATATATATTAGTTCTAACGCACACAAAACTATAATAGATTAATTGCCAAGTATAGATTTCTGATATCATCAATCGGAGTACGTGGCCAATAGCACGGATGTGGCTTGGCGTACTTATATATATTAATATCGCTTTTCTTTTTTTTTAAAAAAAAAACTTTTACCGAAATATGCCTTCTGTTTCTTCTTTAAACGCCGAGGACAAAGCTGCAATAAAAAAAGTCATAAAGAACTCTACAAATGTATAATTTTTTCTTTACGTAATTAACACAAAGCTTTATGAAATTACACTGATGATTACAATCTTTTTTTAGAAAATCCTCACTGCGACTGTCGTTCGACTTTATGTTGCATATCCTAACCCAGATGCATGGACCTACAGCAACCTTATGGGCGCTGTAGCTTTCGTCAAGGATCAAGAAAAGAATTCTTTTTTTTTTCGTTTAGTAGATTTGATGGTATATTTTTTAAATTTTCTTCTACTTTCTCGAATCAATTTTGTTATAACCTTTTTATAGAACAATCAAGGTATTTTATGGGAGCAAGAGCTATATAAAGATTTTAAATACAGTCAAGAGTGCCCATTTTTTCATACCTTTTGCACTGAAGTAAGATCATGTTTATTCGATCAAATTTTTTATTATTAAGTATCATATTTACATTGATCCACTCGTGTTTAGGATTATTTTGCTGCGTTCTCGTTCGCCAATGAGAATGAGGCAAAGATCTTTTACAAGAAAGTTATGAATAGAGAGAAGCTTAGTGGTAAAGTTACAATTATATATATATATATATACTGTTGCTATATAAATATTGTTTTACTGATTTATGTAATAATTTAAATAGCTAAAAAAAATCAAAAGAATTCTAAAAGTGGCGGATTATTTGGTACCAAGAAAAGTAGCAAGAAGGGTAAAATAGACAAGGAGTCAATCAGCAAGCCAACTGATTTTAGGTTAATATTTCAAATTATTTATTTAATGTTTATTAATCAAGGATACATATATTAAAAATAATGTTTTCTTAAAGGCACCTTGGACATATAGGTTTTAATCCTGATACGGGGTTTGACGTGCGTATAGTGGTTTTACTCGATAATTTGAGAGTAAAACAAATAAGATTAAACCTTGATTTTTTATAGGTACAAAATATCGATCCTCAATGGAAAAGTTTATTCGATCAACTGGGTGAATTGGGTGTCAGTCAGGTAAATATAATATGTTCAATTAGTTATCGAAATTCAATATTTCTTATATTTTCATATATTTTGTTAGGAATTAATTAAACAAAATGCAGAATATATTATGAAATATGTTGATGATAAAGGTGGAATCAAAAAAGTAAATAAGCCCACCAAACCGACGACTGGCAAATCAACTCCTGGTGCTGCAAAAAAAACACCACCACCACCGCCGCCAAGTCGACGTCCCGGGTCTTCACCACCCGTTAAAGCCAAGGCAAAATCTCCACCACCACCACCGCCAGCTCGACGATCTGTTGTCAACAATCAATCGAATAATTACATATCTTCAAAACAGCAGAGTCCTCCATCATCTCCAAAGCAGCCCATTCCACCACCAACTCTTAAACAAACAACGTCACATCTACCACTACCGCCTCCACTTCCAGTTTTAAGCGTAAATAAAACTGCACAACCATCACCAGCTTCGAATATACATAAACCAGTACAACCACTTCCAGTTTCAAGCGTAAATAAAACCATACAATCACCTCCAATATCAAATATAAATAAAAACCCACAACCACCTCCAGTACAGAAACCTGTACAGCCACCTCCGGTTCAAGTCGCGCCGCCACCACCACCTCCTCCTGTTCGTCCTCCGACGGCTCAGAACGAACCTCCACCGTTGCCTCCTGCCAGGGTGCAAACTCATGCGCCACCACGCCAACCAACATCAGCGGTGCCGCCGCCTCCACCTCCGCTACCACCTACTTCTGATGGAGCTCCGCCACCGCCACCACCTGCCTCTAGGACTGTACCACCACCACCGCCACCACCACCTACTTCTGGTGGTGTACCACCACCACCGCCGCCACCACCTACTTCTGGTGGTGTACCACCACCTCCGCCACCACCACCTACTTCTGGTGGCGCGCCGCCGCCACCTCCACCTCCACCTCCTAATGCAACATCCATGCCACCTGCCACGAATGGCCGTGCTAATTTGCTTGCCGAAATCCGCAATGTGGGTGGTGCTTCCAAAGCTGGACTTAAACCCGTATGTGGTGAAAGTTTTAAATAATACATCTATATTGTTTATTTGTTTTATGTGCCTTTAACAAATTTTTGTGTTTTTTTTTTTTTTAATAAAGGTTGGTGAGCCAGTTCGCCGGTCAACTATACCTGATGAACCTCAAAGCCCAACCACTGGGGGGAGTGATCTTGCCTCAGCGTTAGCAAATGCTCTTTTGAATCGTGGAGCAGCAATACATGGTGATTCTGGTTAGTATTTATATATATATTTTTTCAACCCATGAAGTATAATAAATCAAATATTTATTGAATTTATTTAGATGAAGACGAAGATGACGATGACGATGATTGGGATGATTAAAATAGTGATTGAATGTCTAAAAAACCATGATCCGTGAGTTACCCGAATGGATAAGTCGGTACCTTTTGCATGTTGCAAATATAAAACCAGAATATTGCCATATTGGAATGTTTATAGTAGTTAGCATATCCGAAGTCCATGTTTGATTTAATTTCCAAATCAGATATAAAAGATTTTAAAAGCATATATATAAATATATTTTGAATTTTTTATTTAATTGTTCTATTCATCGTATTTTATTTTTAAAGTTTTATTAATTAATTCATATTTATTTTTATGATCGGGTCGATTCACGGGTTGGGTCGGTTAACCAGGGTTGGGATAATTAAAATGAAATTTATTCACTCATTATTTATAACAATTGGATCCGGAAATATCTAGATAGAACGTCTATTTTTATTTCGTATTTGTTTGATTTATAAATAGATGTCTCCGGTTTATATGATACATTTCATTAGTTTGTTATGAGCATGGCTTAACAAATGAATATCTTAATTAAAGGGGATGCCTTTGAAAGACTTATTTGTAATTTTCTCGCAACGGCAATGATTCTCATTATTGTTAACATTCCTTTTTGGTTTTGGGGAAGGTTTTTTTGATTTAAACTTAAAACGTACCCTAATTTGAGTAGCGTTCTTGATGTAAGTTTATTTGGTTAATTAATTAAATAAAATAAGCCGAATTTACTGTCACGTTTAAAGGATAACGTTATATCGATATTCGATGATAGCTAAGACCCATGATGAGTTCGCCAGGGCGGCCCCCAAAGTCCGGTTATATGTGGTCGATGATTCGGATAATTAAAAATTTTTGAGCAAAGATATCTCTGTAACTACCCAACAATATTTAATGTTTTTTTTTTTTTATTTTAATTCTACATAGCTGTAGAATCAAAATAAAAAAAAATTCATTAATATTGTTGGGTGGTTGATAAGATATCTTTGCTCAAAGTTTTGAAAAATTTTGCTGCAGCTATAATTTTGATAGGCGTTTGAATAATTAAAAATTTTTGAGCAAAGATATCTCTATAACCACCCAGCAGTTTTTTTTTTTAATTATACATATTTGTAGAATCAAAATAAAAAAAAATTCATTAATATTGTTGGGTGGTTGTCAAGATATTTTCGCTCAAAGTTTTGAAAAATTTTACCGCAGCTATAATTTGGTAGGTGTTTGAATAATTAAAAATTTTTGAGTGAAGATATCTCTGTAACCACCCAACAATATTTGATGTTTTTTTTTATTTTAATTATACATATCTGTAAAATCAAAATAAAAAAAATTCATTGAATATTGTTAGGTGGTTGTCTAGATATCTTCGCTCAAAGTTTTGAAAAATTTTGCCGTAGCTATAATTTTGATAGGCATTTGAATAATTAAAAATTTTTGAACGAAGATATCTTTGTAATTACCCAATAATATTTGATGAATTCATTGAGTTCGGTCTCACCTATACTCGTCGCAATAACTATTATAATTTTTTATTTAATAAGAATATATACTGTCAAAAAAGCTTAATAGATAGATAGGGCTTCAGCAAAGTTTTTTTTTATTAATTATAATAATATATTTACATCGCTAGAGTAATAAACTTCTAAATTATTTAATATCAAATACTTCACAATTAATTATTGAATTCTCTAAAAAAATTTAGTGTGACCTTACCAATTCTTTTATTTTTTATTTTTTTTTAATTCTTTCTAATCTAATTTTAACAAAACTATGCCTGATCTGATCTGATTAATAAAATCATAATTCTAATTTTTTTTTCCATTTTATTTGTGCTACTATACAAACCCTAGAACTATTTGAACCAATTGTATATACTGTATGACTAAAATAAAAATAATCTATTAATTAATTAGGATTTTATAATTTATTGCACGGTGCAATACATTGCACCCCTATAATAATTAGAGTTAGGGTGCACCCCTATAATAATTAGGGTTAGTGTTAGTGTTAGTGTTAGGGTTAGTGTTAGTGTTCAGGTTAGGGTTGGGGTTAGGTAAAATCATGAGAGAATCATTTTTTATTAGTTACACAACAGGGTTACCCTAGTAAAATTTTGAGATATAGTAAGGGTGCAATTAGAGTTGGTGGTGCAGGGTACTTGGCGACACCAATGGTGCACCAAATTGGTGCACCAGCTGGCGTGCCAATGCAGGTATGGTGCAGAGGTAGCAAGCCAATCATATTTAAATTTATTTTATATAAGTAAGCGGGTATGTATAATATAACATACGCATGTGCATAAACTTTCTAAATAACTTTAGAAAGTTAGGTTCAGTTTTAGCTCAATAATATTAACAGTAACTTATCGCAATAAGTTAATAGGAAATATAATATTAGTTAATCAAACCCGAAAGTTCCCGATGTAGACAGTGAATGAACACAAAATACGAGCGTAATCAAGCTAAAAAGTGGGATTAATTCCGAAAATATAGGGCAGTATAACTACAAGATACAGATGTCTTTGTCGGTGGTAAAACAAAAGATAAATATATGAAGCTACTAGCATCTGACAATAATGTAATATAATGGTGCACCGTCAAGTGCACCGCGCACCAGAAGATCTCGTTGGCAATACGTGGTGCACCACTAGAATTATAACTGCACCACCAACTCTAGGTGCAATAAAAAATAAAACCCAATTAATAATACAGATTAAAATAAAATTAAATTAAAATACTATAATATATTGTACAATTAAAAATAAACAAGCTATTGAAAATAAAAAATTTTGAGATGCATTTTTAAGGTTTAGTTAAAAATTAGTTTTAGGATAAAATTTATATTAAACAAGTATAAGTGAGTTTTAGAGAGTTAAATAGAACCTCTTATTTTATTTTAATCTGATTTTATTATGATTTGCAATAGTAAATTATTAAATACTTGCCTCTTTAACAGATCTGATTATTTATTAGAACTGGTTTTATATAAGAATTTTTTTTTTTTTTATAAGCGGTCCTGCCTTTATTCATGTAAACTATTATATAATTTATATACAATTTGTACTAAATTCCTACAACCTATAGCTCATTTCGATAAAGACTCACCAGGGATAAAACCTAATATGACCTGCTATAACAACTATTAACCTCTCGCAGAATCCTTAACTTGCTAAGGATTTCGTATTAGAATAATACATCTCTTAATCATTAGTAGGCTGTTGTATGCCTTGTCAGAACCACCTATCTTTCCTTAAAACTTTTCCCACCTAGGTCCGAGCAGAATAGTTTATCTCTTACATTTATATAAGAGAAGAAAATAAATGCTATATTTACGAAAGAAAAGAAGATTTAGGGAAGAAAAAGAATATATAGAAGAAAAGAAAAAAAAAAGAAAAATAATCTAAAAATAGTTCGATCATAAATAGACAAAAATAAGAAAAGCAAAAAAAAGATTGGTAATTCTAATATACTTCTAGTAGGAGATAAAAATAAAAGAGAAGGAGAAGAGAAAACAAAAGAAATATAAAAAAAAAAAGAAATATGCAGTGTATAGTGGCTTCGGTAGTCTAAAAAATTATATGATACTAAGTATTGAAGTCTCTGCGTCATCTATAACTACTATATTATATGTAATTGGTATACATATTGTTTAATTCAGACACATGTAGAGATTAATACATAACTTTCGGTTTCCTGATTTAGATTGTGAAAGCACTATCGATCAATTGGAGAGGGCAAACCAAATTGCTCACTTTTCGTCGAAAAAACTTTGAAAGAGAAGGAAGGATAGGAAATAGCCAACTTAAGGAGGATAGTAAGAGTTACGCTATACAGAGTATTACATCTAACTAAGTAACTACTTCTGCCGAAACTTCTATAGTACTTAACAAAGCTCCAGAGCTTATCTGCTACTTCTTTGCTTGGTAGCACCATAGTCTTCTGCCGGGTGACTTCGCTTTCAAGGGTAACTCTTTTCAAATCTATTTCACTTATGCCAACATGTAGTAAATAGCTATTGTTTCCCGCTGCTACTGGTAAAGTTTTGTGGTATTTAAACATATTAACTGTATAGTTTTCATAGATCAGCCTTTTTGAAGAAGTTGGTCTGAGGGATCATTGGGGAGAGTTGTGATGAAAGTGGTTTTATATAAGAATTTAATTCTTTAATAAAAGTATTTGTTTAATATTCTCTTTTTTTTTCAACTCTTTAATATGTATTATGTATATGTTCTATTAGCTTGTTTATAATTATTTGTTTATTTTTGATAGCTTTTTTTGCTTTAGTTTTCTTTGGTTTTTTGACTTCAACTAATCCTTGATATATATATATTTCAAACCCACTATCTTCAAATATTTGTTAAAATCTTATCTAAGTATTAGCAGTTAATAGTCTATTAGTACTATAAATATGGTTATAAAAGATATGTTTATAGAATAGTAAGTAATAATAAAAAAAAAAATACTGACAATCTAACAATATCAAACTAAGAAGTTCTTTACCTTTCTTTAATTTTTTTTAATAATAAGAACTTTATCAACAACTATTTTTTAAACAAGATAGAAAAGTTTGTAAATTTTATCAAAAATTTTATAATCAATTTCAACTATTGATATTTTTTTAATATGAAATTCAAATACTATATATTTCAAATCTAATTACTTTTTTGTATCTAGTATTATAATTTTATTGTATATACTAATTAGACTGTGATAGAAGGAAGTTATTTGTTTTAATTTACTATAGTACAATTCTAAAGAATTGGTGAAAGTTATTTGCAAAAGAAGTAGTGAATATTAGCAAGTCTAAAAGCTTATTAGTAAGTATTTCTAGTATAATTTCATTTTATATAACTTTTTATAGCAGAGACAAAGCAGTTTGCAACTGCTTGTTTGATAGTTTCCTTACAACTAATTATTGTCTGTTTATGCATAGCATGAATTATTTTATTTCGAGTTTTTACTTTATATACCTTATTTAACCAAATCTGTATAATATATATAGTATGGTAGACAAGTCCGAATTTGGGTGATCGATATTGTGGCTTAGCC